TATTCCAGGAAATTCCTGAGAGCATATCCTTTGTATGTTATGCCAACCTCCCTAGAAACAATGCCTGCGCCCCTGGGTGTTGCTTCTAGCATGGTTTATATAGCTAATGAGCCAAGAGCTCAGCCCCAGCTGAGGTCTCAAAGGATTTGGGGAGATGACCACGGTAGTTTTACTGGGTGCAGGCAAAGTTGCATTATCAAGCATAACCAAAAACTGGTGATATGTTTACCAAGCAGGTTATGGTAATATAAATAGAAGATAAGATGGCCCGGCAGTGCATAGCTTGGTTCATTTCCATAATTTATTTTAAGTAGTTGCTCGGTCATACAGCTATAATGGTATGTGAGAATGACCTTGTGAGAGAGGATAAAGAGCTGCTGACTAGGCAATGGTCAGATAAGTGGCAGCTGAGCCCACCGAAAGAATGGAAGTGTGACAAACATCTCAGAAGGGGCCCTCCCTAGTTTATTGGGTTGCAAAGGTGACGGGGGAGAAATGTAGTTTCAGACTTGTAATGTAACCTTACGATAAAGTATATTTAGTTCATCTGGGTGTGCTTCCTCCTGGACTGACAGTGTCTGTTTTGCTTATAGCAAGTGATTTGCTAAGAGATACAGAGGATGGGAAGTTCTAAGCTTTCAATTCAGACCACAGTGACTTCTAAGCTGACCCCTCTAACCACCTCATGGACTCAGATCTCAGTGTTCTCATCTGACCAATTGTGACTTATTCAGCTTACTGCAATCTGTAAACCCATCCCTTCTGTGATCCTACACCTATTTTAAGCCTTGCTGCTTGAGTTCAGCCTAAGTTCTCATGATTGGTTTGGCTCTGGCTTAGTGTAGCATAGAAGAACCCAGAAATTATGGTTTGTAAATCATGGTTTATGGTTTAGCACAAAGTAGGAACCCGTCCAGTTAGACACAGTGGTTAAAGCACAAGTAGCTTAGTGTGGTATGTGAATCCAATCACTTAGCTCACTCCAAATAAAGTGAGTATAGGCATGCTGCCTTAACAGATTACCAGCAGCAGCCCATCATCGAAGCTAGTTAACTTTAGTGGTGAAACCCAGTTGCTGAATCCACTTGTATTCTTATCTTTAGACACAGAATGCTGCCTTGTGCCATGTATGTTTATACTAACTGATAGACTTACCAGCTTCTTCCAGCTCTTGGATTTTGCACCTTATGTCTTGCAATGAGAAAAAAGTATTAATGCACACCCAGAATGGAGGTCACATAGGAACTTTTCACTTATTTATCCCATCCTTTTTCCAAGTGTTCAAGGGTTTGGGCTGGGGTCAGCACTTTGAGCAGACAGGTGTGATGTGTGTTTGATGGTGATTTCAAGGGGATCCTAATAAAACATCAAAAATATCCATGAAAATATATGCCTAGGGTCAGCGATTGCTAATACGTCACTCTGTGCAGAAAGATGTGAGTTGCAATGTTATGGTGATTTCAGATGGATCCTATATCAAACTCAGAAGGAACCATGTAGAGCTGGCTTTTATTCAGGTGTTCCCTTTGGAAGGATCTAGGAAAACAGGCTCCTCGTAGAAGGCTTTACTTTAGGCACAGGGCTGTTCTATCCTTCCCTACAGTGTGCAGTGAGGCCTAGAAGAGGGGAGAGAAGGTAAGCTCTGGTAACCGGATCACAAATCAGGGAAACTTTTCTCCCTCTCGTCTCCAACAGCCTCCAAAACTCTCAACAGTTCTGGCCTTGTCCAGACCTCTTGGCTACGTCTCAAGTCAAATAAAGTAGATGGCTGGTTACCGCAAGCTGAGGTGAGGCTGGGGGCTGCAGGACCAAGCTAGGCAGCCGAGGAACAAGGAGCCTATTGAGGGAAGAGGCTTCACATCCTCAGCTGGGCAAACATACAGCTTGTGTCTGGCCAGATTGGACTCCTGGGGTTTGATGGGCAATGAGTGTATGCAGAAATAGGAACCCAGGGCATACCTTGGAGGGTGTACTGTAGTAACAGAAGGAAGAACTTTTTCTTTTTCCTTTTAACTTGAAAAGGCATGGCACACTTTCCAGTATTTAGCCCTCCCTTTGCAAGGGTTCAAGGCAACCTGTCCCAACTTCATACGTTTTCATCTATTGCACATCACCCCAGTAATATGTCCAGTGAGGTTGGGAATTCTAGGCCAAAACATCTAAAAGAACAAAAGCAAAGCTAGTCCTAAGACAAAAGCAGATTAGGGATGGTGTAATGGCACCCACTAAATAAAGTGCTAGTCCTGTGCTGCTGCACAGAAAGTCAATTTAAACCAGGAAAGAAAACCGAGTTCTGTGTGTTTCTGGTCCTGTCCTAAACCTGAATTGCAGATTCTCTGCTGATTTTGCGTGGCTGTATTTTTTCCTTGTTCTTATTATTTTAGAGGGGACAGTACTGTTTGGCTACTCCACCACCATTTGGCTCCATGGGCCATTTCCAGAGGCTACCAGACACAGTCACTTGCTCCCTTATAGTCTTTCTTAATTTCTGATGTGTGGGAGTTGGAATGAAATGGATAAGGGCTTTGTCTGATTCTCCTTGTAGTTCAAGTGATAGTTCATAGGCACAGCAAAGAAACATAGGGTGAAGCAGGAGGATGAAGACTTGCTGCTCCTCATACCCCTCTACTGCCCAGTGACCTATCTCTTGGACTACTTCTTGAACCCACATATATGAAGAGCCCACATTTTTTTCTGGTCAGGCATGATGCAGGAGGCAGATGTCTGGGGAGGCAGATAATCCAACCTCTCCAGCAACCCAAGCCAAAATGGCCATGTAGGGCAGTGCCCAGTAATTGAAGGGGGTGCCCTTAGTACTTTGGCACCATCAGTAGTTGCTGGTGGATTCCAGCCTAACTTTGTCTTCACTAATCTCAGTGAGATATTGTAGAATATGTGCCTGGCAAAACTTGTGCTGGGAGAAGAGGGAAGATGTTGCTTTAAAACTGAACAGCTAAAGACAAATGTAAGTTGCCCGTGTTTGAGGCTGGGGATGAGATGAAATGGTCAGCAGAGCAACTTCATACTACAGTTGGTGGGACGTGAGGATGAGCCTTCAGTGTGTCATGAGAACACGTGCAGCAGGAGCAGAGGCACAGAGATAGCTAGCAATCAGCCAACAATAGGCAAGCCCCTGGTATCCACTGAAGTAGTTGTGAATTTATTCTGTGTGTGTACAGTATTTGCAAAAACCCTAAAAAAGAGAAAGTAATACTCTATTACTGTGGCCTTCACTGGTCTCTAGTGGTGAACATGGGCCACTACCATTGCAAAAAGGTGACTTCCAACCATAAAATATAAATTCCACTTCCATAAAATAAATGCAATATAAATCCCGCTTTGGGACATTTTTAGAAATGAAAAAGCAGGATTACAAAATGTAATAAATACACTATTTATATTATCTCAAAGAAATATGGGCAGATCTTCAGAGAAGCATAGAGAGATCAATGTTAATACTTCCATGTTAGGCAGTTACTTCTTTTTAACTCAGGAACACAGCAGGTATTGTGTGTTTAGAATGGCCAGGAATATTTATAACGCAAATCTTCTCAATATGTGATACAAATACATGTTCCAGAATGCTGGACAAAGGAACTGCTTTTCCTAAGAAAGACAAGTACTGGGTCTCAATCATTCCTTTTCCTTCATGCATCAGAACTTGTTTTCCTCTTATTGGGGTGGGGGGATTGATAGTAGCATCCAGGGACGCTTCAAAATCAGCAAGCTGGTGGTTTGAGTATTGCAAACTAAGGGCCTTTTGTACGTAGAAAAGGGGTGGGACTTGAATCACAGTGCCACACCCACTCTCTTGCAGAGTTAGATCCCCTCTACCCATGTACACTGCTGGGAATTAGTGTATGTGTTTGGGGGGGGGGGGTTCAGGCCTACGCTTGTGTATCATTTGTCACCTTACCTCCTAACCGTTTTCAAACAGTTGCAAAACTGCTTCTAGAATTAGTATATATTGATAATATCACAGACACCAGACAGTACTCATTGTGCCTGCCTTTATTCATTTCAAACTGAAGACACACTAGAAAGTGGGCTGGGGGAGGAATCTTCTAAATATTTATTCAAAATATGGTCCCTGGGCAGAAAATTTTACCTAAAGAAATGCTACAAGTTCTAGCAAATTTACTATTTCTCTCCTAAAAACACCACACTTACTATCACTGGGTTGTTTTTTTAATCTTTTTCATTGAGAATTAGAGTTAGAAAAGAGTATCTACTTATACTTGAAAAAGCACGCATCCATGTGTCAGACTTTCACAACTGTTATCAGAATAGGGCCAATTCCAGCTCTCTCCAATTGTTTTTACACATTTGAAAAAGAATTTAATTTGGACCAGTTAATAACCAAAGGCCATGTGAGATCCTTAACCTAATTGAAAGCCTATCAGTTCAGACCACTGTCACTTCATCACCACCCTCCTTCTTGTTAAAAGTTGTCAAGAAAAATAAGCCCTGCTCTCTTTTTCCTTCAGCCCTCAACAGTTCATTTTGAGGGAATGCAACGCTTGACCCAGTGTAAGGGTGCTCTCGCACTCGGTCTAGAAAGAATTAACTCTTAAATGCATAAGCCAAAAATGGACAGGGCCAGAAGGAAAACACACCCTCAAACCTCAGGTCTGTGTAACCATTGTTGGTTCTAGATCAGATGGCACTGCTCTGGGGCTATTTAGATCATGGACCCCTGAAAAAATGATACTTTTTAAAAAAGACTGGAAACCTTGTATGGACTTTTTGTTGAAAGAAGACTAAATTGATTATTTATGATTTGGGGATTAAAAGGAGTTAAAGAGGGAGGAGAAAGAGATGCCAACTACATGATAGAAGGGCAGAAGTCATAATTCTAAATTTTCTTTTTTATATACTTTTATTGTATTCAGAAAAATAGATCATGGACCCTGGAATCAATCTGAAATTTTCCACTTTAGTGGCCCACATCTAGTATGTATAAAAGGAAATTAAAAAATTGATGGTGTCTTATCATGGATACAAGATGAAGCTTTATAGCAAGTTGGACCATGCCCCCCCCCAGTATTTTGACAGGCAGATGTTCATTAGATGAGACACAATCCTGGAAGACACACTTCTACTAATCATGAGGGCTGAATGCCAGAGATGGACAAGTCAGGTCAGCCAACACACATCTGGAAGATCTGCAGTAGTTCAGCAAGGATATCTAATTCTGAGTTAGTTTAATATTAGTAGCAACCAACCTCATGGGATGAATTATTTTGCTGACATCAGGAGTGTGTTCCTTTTATCCGTTCTAACGCTAAACCAGTATCTGGGCCCCAAATGTTTAAAGTCCAAGTGTTTCTCTTTTGAAATAAGCTCTGCTTGGCGGAGCTCAATGTTCTAGCATAAAACCAGATCTGTCCACCCTGCATTATGAAGCCTCCAGATGGAGTCAGTCTGTTTCCAAGTACCAGTTGTTGGGGAATAAGACAGAGGGTTACTGCTGTCCTGAATTGCTTGCATGATTCCCAAGAATCATCTGGTTGGCTGCTCTAGGTTTGGTACTTGGGCTGATCTTGAAACCGTGAACCTCGGAACCATTTTTGACATGGTCCTCACTCCTGACAACAAGACGGACAGAAGCGTGCTCTGTTAGCAAATATTTATTTTATTTCTCTTTTAATGTATTTATTGCACTTCAATTTTAGACAAAAAATAAATTCTCTCTCTCTCTGCCTTGTCAGCATCTTTTATGAGTCTTTTGGACTCCCAGCAGTAGTAGCAGCAGCAGCAGCAGCAGCAGCAAATAAACCCCTCTCCATTTTCCCATTGCAGCAAATATACTTCAATTTAGGGAGGGGACTCTTTGTTCCTACATACATTTCTAACAAAAGTGCAACGTTTGGTTTCACTTCAAAGCAGTGTTGAACAGCAGCAGCAAGTGTCCCTCCCACCCTGCAAAGAACACCAAATATTCCCCACATCATGCAACAGGAGGGTGACCCAAACATGCTATGAGAACTCCTGTAAATGGGATGGAAAACCTGTCATATATCAATGTAGAGAACCAGGCAGGGCTGACCACAACCAGACAGGGACACTGGGAGATCCTACTGGAGAGAAGAGGGAGCCCAGGATCCCCTTTCAGTCCTCTCCAAATCTTTAAAAAATATCCCAATGGATTGGCTTCTTTTTAATCTATAGTCTGATAAGGAGGAAAAATAGTTCCTAGGTTCTCAATATCTAGAGTGCTCAACTGTCTTAAATCCATGTGTCTGCAGTTCCATCTCATTTTGAGTATAGAATTTGGTATGTTACAAAAGTTAGCATTCTGCACATCTCAGCTTTCATTTTGTTTCTATTCGTAATAGAAAAATAGATTTTCTAATATTTCAAGGTTGGGCTTCAGCAAAATCCAAGCCCCAAATACACTTCAGAGCCATTTCGCCAATGCTGTGTCACAATCAGACAAAAACAAAAAAACAGAGTGCAATTTAATGTACACACCCATGTGACCCTTTGGTGCTCCAAACCATATACATATTGCTTGAGACATTGATGTGCCATTGTGATATACAGTCTCAGAAAACCAGAAAAACCACAACAGAATTTCTAGAGATCAGAAGGTGGAACTTCAGTATTCAGCATAACTTCCAGTGCCTCCTGCACCATCACTGTCCATGACTAGTGGAAGCAGAATAAATTATGCAAAATAAACAAATATGGCATCTGTTTAATTTGAATAATTTACTCAGGTCATAATTTACACATTTCTTGGCACAGAATCTGGTTGCTTAATATATATATATATATATAAAGTGCAGAGAACACATCACTCCCCAAGGAAGGCAGTCTACTGATTATTAGATCAATTAACCAAAATATTCTGGGAATATATGGGAAATCTGTAACAAAAGATGGGGCTGAATAAAATAATAAAGGCAGCCTGGAGACTGTTTGGGATTCTTGGCCCCATCCTTAAAAAGGAATGGGATTTGGAGGTCAGAGGGGTTAGAACTTTCTAGGATAAAATACCCCAAACTTCACCCTTTGGGGGGAATGGATAGAAAAGCACCAAAGCACAGAAATAATCAGAAAAACTGAGCAGAAAGATCTTCGGGGTGTTTGCTTTGCTTAGCCCTTTCTTCCTAATGGCTGAACCTTACCAGGGATGGAAGGAACACCGGCTAATCCCAATCTCCTTTCTCACTTCCGACAGCTCTCTCGAATCATCCAACTGCAATCAAGTTCCTTTCCTCTGACTTGCTGAGAAACTAGACTTCTGATCAATCGACAGCATCTCCACAGCTTTCCTCCACCTACGGCCTCTTTAGTTTGCTGCGGCCGCATCCGAGAATGGAGTGCAGCTCTGTCACGAATTGGTGGAAGCGCCTTTTATTTTTGAGATGTTTATGAAATATGTATTACCTAGACACCCACACCTGACAAGATGAAAGAGAATTGGGATTTCACTTAATCAGTTGCCAAGATGAGATGGGTGGAGGTGGAGGTGGAGGTGGAAAACTTGAGTAGTCCTATTTTCTATCTGATGATACCAGCTACTCAGTAAAATCTGAAAGAGGTTTTACTGAATAGCTGGTATCATCTGGTATGCACATGTGTGTGTGTATACATACAGACACACTTTTTAAGAACAGCAGCAAGGGAACAAAGGCTAACAAAGGAAAAGAAAAAAGCCTGAGAGTTGGGGCTCAGTAGCATGCAGATTAAGGAAACTAGATCTGGAGTAACTGCCTTACCAGGTGTCCTACATTTGCCCATCCTCAAGAGCTACCAATGATTACTGTTATGTACAATATACTTGGTGCTTTTATATACAGGGTAGAGCCTCAAAACAACATCATATGGAAATATATGTGTGAATATATGCATGCGTGTGTATACACACCCACACCCATTTAGAAACAACACATGTGTCCAGTTCATTTGCCTGATCTCTCTTGGCACATAAATGATCTTCAGTCTGCATTGTGCTGTGGAGAGCGCTATCTGGGAAATGCATCTTTCCTCCTGTATCCAATCTCCTCACTGGGGAGAGATCTACTCCAACAGATCCAAGCTGCAAGGGGCCGTGGGCTTCCTGCCTTCGTCGTATCCTTTCTACGCCTCTTCTTTCATCATTATGTTCATTTCCCAAAGAGCAACATTTAGTCCGCTGCAGTAAATTTACTTGATGGTGGATTTTTATTTCCTAAAGTCTTAGAGCTTATGAGATTGATGTGCTGGAATTAAGGGTTGATCCGGAAGGCAAGAAGTTTCTCTGAATGCTGGTTGTTGAGAGTTCTCAAGTCGGGAAGACGGAGAAGCAGCTTGGGGAAGAGTGTAGAGTCATCAGGATGCTTCTTGGTTACTAGAGTTCTCAAGGCCCGTATTAAAGTCTCCTGAAGAATTTCAACAGCATCCACGTCGGAGATCCCAGAGCGATCTGAAGACCAAAGCAAAGGTGTTAAAAATTAAGACAAATAAAGAAGACATGGTAAATGGGGTGGGTTTATCTGTCTTGGAAAAAAAAAATACAACATATTAGGGAGAATTAAAGCACCTACTGTTTCACTTTGTCAGTATCAAATGCAGTTACTGGAGACATCCTGCTATTATCAAACATATGAAGCACAAGTGGTCTGTATTCTACACCCAGACAATGTGCAATGCGAACTATATGCATGCATGGAAATTAACAAGAATTGCACAATTTATCTAATTTTGCATGGTTTAGTATATTGTTTTTGACTCTCCATAATCTGTTTCTTCTAGATGCGCAAAGAGGACAGAATAGACTCCTCTGAAAATCTTAGCACTTGCTGGGCTTCTGAAATTCCAATAGGTATTTCTCACACACTTTCTTGCACACTGGACAGAAGCATTTTTAGTGGCATTCTAAGAAATTTAATCTTGCACCCAATACCACAGCCTTAGCATAATCACAATTGCATCTACATTCGTAAATGGAGAATCCATTAGAACCTGTCTACAAGCTCCTATGCTGAGAAAACTTTTTTCCCCACTGAACTATTTACTTAAATGTCTCCCTTTTCATCCGAAAATGACAAAAAAGCTGCACAGCTGCCTGTCCCATAGGAATGCGCTGGGGGATTTCTTTTTTTCTCCATAGACTCCAGCTGGATCCATTTCCTAACTCACCCTTCCTTTTGCTGGCTTCTTCCACCATACCAAACTGGGTCCCATTCTGTTTTGGTTTCAGAGAACAAACTGTCTACTGGCAGACAGACTCCATCTATGAGATCCTCCACAAAAACTTCAAATGTTCAAGATTTGATTCCAAATTGCAATTTGCACAGAACCGGCGGTTTCTGTTCTTTGAATTTACAGAGAAGGAAGGCCTTGAACAAAAGCTACAAAAGCTCCCGCAGCAAGTCTGCCTCACTCCCCAAAGCCTTCGACTGGTCATCTCACTATGACAAAGCTCACACCCACCTGCTGAGACAAGGACCACAGCCATGAAGAGGGCCATCTCCTGTGCATCTAAGCCCAAGGAATTGAGCTTCTCACTGAACTCAAACATGGCATCCAGCAGAGAGCCCATGCCCATAGAACGCAGACTGCAGAGTGAATATGTCTCCCCACTCAGAAATGTCACTTTCTTCTCCTTGGGACTGAAGAGGGTGGAGAATCGCACCATCAGCACCTATGGAGGGAGGAATGGTGAGGCAGTGCCACTTTAAACAAAGACACATCTTTTTGACAAACACTCCACTGTATGAAGAAACAGCTAACAACTCATAGCTTTCCAGTGCATGCTTGTTATCATCTGCAGATGCTGGAGAACCACAAAGAAATTTTTGAAAGGGATGCATAGTCTGAGAAAGTGAGGCAGCTTCTGCATTCTCTTTACATCTTGGGAGCAAACCCATACAAGGGCTTAACCAGGGATCCAGTTCAAGCGTAAAAACGATAAGATTTGCAGGTACAACTCTCTTGTTCTTACTTGAATTTTCCACAGCTGGCCAACTGCTGGGACACAAGAATGCTCCTTGGAAAGAGTTTCAAATTCTGAGAAGAGAGTGTCTCAACTATAAGAAAAATTCCCTATTCCTATACTAAAAGTAATCAGACTGCAGTCTGCACAAAAGTTTCAGCTCCAGTGAAACCTTGCCAACAAGATTTATGCTCTCCAGATGATAGCAAAAATATTTGACAATTAAAAAGCAATTCCATAACCCTTGCGACTGTGCAAAACAAACCCACCCCAAACAGCCATATTTCTGCACTTCCTCATTCTTGCTATGTGCCATCATAGCTTCTCTCCAAGACTAAAGACCTTTTGGAACAAAAAAAAAAAAAAAAAACGAACCATGCTAAACACTGTTGCAATGCAGAAAAGAATATGAGGCTAATTCAATTTGCATCAATTATTCTTTGCACAGATTTGGGGCTGTCCACAAAAAGAATGCACCCAGTGCTGACCTGGAAAGTCCCTGCTTTGAGAAGCATGACTTGATCCTGCTGGCAGAGCGACTGGAAGCCTGGGATGTTCTTTGCAAACTCGACCACCTCCTTGACAGCTGGTGTGAAGCACTGTGAGAACTCTTCCCACACTTGCTGACTGCTCTTGCCATTACCACAATAGGGGGTGGCATTCAGAGGACAAGCCTGCATGCAACAGAGATTGAAAGAAAGAGGTACGTTTGGTCAAGCAAAGCTCTATGCAAAAGACCTATTTTGACACTCAAACAGTATTATTTAATACTTTAAAAAGATGCTTGTTCTCACAACACATAAACAAGGTGGCTTTGTTACCAGAATACATAGTAAAACTAGTTTAACACAAAGGCGCATCCAGATGTAATAAAAAGAGAGAATTGGTAAAGGGGCAGGGGGAGAGGGAGAGAGGAATGATAAAAGGATAATTTCCCCCACTGGCCATTCTTTTGAAGAAAAAAAAAAAGTACCCGTTTTTTTTCTTCCAGTCGAGATTATTTCCAAAACTGCCCCCCAGGGGGAGAAAAATAGTTTTTAAAAAGTATTTTGGATTACTGGAAAGCATTGCTGGAGGGTAAGAGGGATCAACCTGCCATTCTTCACTTGAAAGTCCCTCCATATCCCACCATTTCAAATAAAATTAGCAGTAGACTCAGTGGTTGGACAACATGGGTCTGCCATCACAACTAACTGTAATTTTTAATCTGTAACTGAGAAGTGGCCAAAACGATTTTACTAAAACAATGGATTGGTTCAAAGCAACGTTCAAACAAGAAAACATTAGAAATGTTCATGAACCAGTACATATCGTTTAAGAGAAAACTCCAGACCCGTGATTTTACTTTTCACTTTCCTTGGTAAAACTAAGTTGTTCAGTCGTTAAGTCATGTCCGACTCTTCGTGACCCATGAACCATATCGTGCCAGGTAAAACTAAGAGCCACAAACAGTTGCTTGAAGTCATCAGGAGCTATTTTATCTTTGTGGTGGCGGCTGCCTTTATCTGCTTGTGGTGCACAAGGCTTTACCTTGTATCGTTTGATCTGTGCATAGTGTGTGGAGAGATGATGGTTCTACCTTAGTCTTTCCCAGTCTGGTGTCTTCTGGACAAGCTGAAATGGGATGGTGGCTACCAGCCCATTCCATTTGGAGGACACCACTTTTACTGTTTAGTCCTGTGGCTCATGGTTTTAAACATTATAGCAAGAGCCATTCCTCACTTAAAACAGGGGCACGACAGGGACTGGCAATGGGAACCACAAACTCCATGCCAGTATAATGTTCTGCCAATCCAAGGAATATATGGAGAGCAGTAAAGAAAGTCTGGTTTGCTTTCTTATTTTCGCTGCACTACCAACAATTTACAGCAGGGGGGTATCAAGGATTTGGAAATCAGTTTTCTACTGGCAATGCTGATGTTTTCATCAGAGATCCAAGGAAGCAGACCCAATTCTGTGACCTGCAGGCCTTGGCCTTCCTCAACTGTAACATCTAATATTTTAAACTTCCAGAAAGAGACACAATGGGGCTCAAGTGTAACCAGCAGTGATATCAGAGCTTCTTACTGCTAGAACTGCCTGTTGTCCTCTGCTATTTCCCCCAAATATTTGTAGGAAATAGTCCCAAAGGGTCCCTGCAGAGCGATAATACCAAAAAAGCTGCCTGTATGCTGGTGGTGATCTCCAGACCCCCAGCCACCACTCCCCAATATAAGACTAGCCTACTCACAATGCCCCTTCTGGTGGTTCCCCGCCACGGACAGCTCCTCTGGGCGTTTCCCTCAGGATAACCAAAATCAAAGGGTGGGTAGCATCCAGCATTTTGCAGATAGCTGGCCTGCTGGGCCTGGAAGATCTCATTGCCAAAGCACCGTGGACTGTTGTCAACGTAACTGGGAGGCTCTTGAGGGCTGTAGCTGGAGAGGCGAAGAGTGGCCGATTCGTATTGCCCATAACCCAAGGAATGAGTCAGCTGCTGCTGTTCATTGTAGTTGGTCAAAGGGGCAGCCTCGGCCCCTGGGGAGCTGCTACGCCTGCCCAGACGGTCCTGCCCGCTGACAAAGATGTCATGGTAAGCTCTGGAGATGGCGCTTATTGCCTCCTCTTCCTGGGTATTAGGGCTGGGTGGAGCATCCACCTCAGAGCTCAGGCCCACATCCATGGGGACCTCGTTCAGGCTGTTCATGTAGCTTTGCATCTCATCCAGCAGGCGCTGCTTCTCTCGCTTAGGGATGCGCCCAAAACGCACAGCTGTGGAAGGGAGGAAAGAGCACGGAAATCTGAGCATCGAGATGAAGTTAAGCTGTTACAAGCAGCAGTGGAGTAACTCGGTGCTTCCCAAACTTGGGTAAATTACCCAAAATTGGGTAAAAGTGATTCTTCTTTGGGTAAGGACACACAAACCCGTTACCCATCACAACAGGGACATTTAAATTGACTTAAGTAAAAAGGACTTTCTGATAAGCAGTTTGGGGTGAATGAAGGAAAAGGTTTGGGAAGCACTCGAGTAACTGAACAGACACAACTTTCTTCTCTGCCCTAACCCTACAGGAAGAGAAGCTACACCCATCAAGATTCCCCCTAACACGACTGCACTGAAGCTGGCCTGTCTTGCTGGGAAAATGAGGGAAACTGCACAATTCTTCAAAGTCATCTTAAAATTCACTTAATACGAACACAATGATGCTTAGAAAAGCCCATACAAACATATATTCTCAGACACACAAACCTACAATGCTGGCTTCTTTCTCCAACTTAGGAGGTCGTGGCAAGCAATTTATTTTTGTTCATTCTTCCCCAGCAAAGGGAGGGAGGGCCAGATCCAAACCCTTCCCAAACCAGCAGAGCCACTGCAAAGCCAGAATCGCAAGCAGATTCTCAGGCCTCTGGGTCATGTACTTGGGAGAGCCTCTGTGCCATTAATCAAAGGATGCTGTTTGCTCTCTGGATGCAAGTGGCTCTTCCCACATCCTTCCCTCCTGCTCTGCAAATTCTGACACAAAAGCATCAATCAGCCTAGGGTTTCATTTATCAACCAAGCATTTGCTGACACCATACCCTTGTGAGAGAGTGACTGCAGGGGCAGCACTGCTGGCCAACTGGTTGGGACTGAGGTTTTATCCTTCTGAATACATTAACATTGAAGCATGCCTTGGTAACAGACCAGCCTGTGCCCGGTTCCCCACACCCCTCTGCCATTTCCCAGTCATTTTAGCAATGGCAACCAGAGTTATCGTTCCTTAAAACAAGGGGGAACAAGCTTCCTAGAGCTGGGGACTGCTACTCATTCCCCCGACCAGCTGGGGTTTATAACACTGGGGAAAGGGAGGAGGAAGTATCTGGGAGGCAAACTTCTCATTTGCATCATTGAAAAGCTTCAAAACAAATCGTTCTGCCAAAATTCAGTAGCTAAATTTGGGCAGTGCAATTTGGGGACATGGGAGGGGGCTGAGTGTTTTTTCAAGGATGGAAATGGGAGCACATTGCCTTCCAGCGGCCTTCCTGCTTTATGTCTTCTGCCTTGGAGCTTTTCAGGAGAACAGAATCCACCTAAATGGCTTTCGGGGTTACCCAGTTAATTCTAATGTGTTTGAAAAAAAGCTAAAAGCCTGATCACGAATGCCTGTAGACTGTCATTCAAATTAATTCATCATAGTTTCCCTCAAGCCTTTAATCCCCCCAAAAAGAGGGACCAGCGCTACCCAGATGCTCACCATCCCTTGACATCCCTACTGCCAGGCACTTCTTGAAGCGGCAATGCTGGCAGCGGTTGCGATTCATGCGCATGATCATGCAGTTTTCATTCTTCACGCACATCTTGTAGCTGATGTTCTGCTGGATGCTCCGGCGAAAAAAACCCTGATGGCACCAGGAGAGAGGAGTCAGTGGCGGGCGGGGGGGTGTGTGTGAACCAACAAATGGACACGTAAAATGAGTCTACTGGCTTTCAACTTTCTACTCTGTGGGGTGTCAGCTTTGGAATATCATTCATGCCTTTTTTCTGAATGCTGGCTGAAGGTATCAGGAAAGACAAAAGCTAGCTTATTCTTCCTTGGATTCTGGGGAGCCAGCTGAACAACCAGCAAGTTGGTAGGCTCTAGCTACTTGGAAGACAATCATGGCTGAAGCATTCCTTGTTTTGCCAACTGAACTGCTGGAGGACTGGAGAATGCTGGACAGCACTACTGCTCAGGGTTAATACTGTAGTTCGTATTTTGGAGAAATCAAACAGTTAATGGAGAACCCAACTAAACTAGAATGATTTCTCTTTAGCTCAGGATCAAAACCAAAATTCAATTTTGAGTCAAGAGTTGCATGTGCCACCAACAGGCCCAGCAATGTAGGATTTGATATTAGGTATCCTAAACATTTTGGACTTTGAAAAAACAGGATAGACAGAGTATTGACCCTCCTGAACACTGGTGTTGGAAAGGCTCCTGAGAATACTACAGATAGCTAAGAAAACAAACCAACGGACAAATCAACCCAGAGTTTTCATTTGAGGCAGAAATGACCAGATTCAAATTATCATACTTTGGAAACTTTTATGCTGGGAAAGGTGGCAGGAAAGACAAGAAGAGGACGAGCAGCATCAAGGTGGATGGACTCAATTTTAGTGGTGATGGGTGCACCACTGGAAGACCTGAAGGACCAGGTCGGGGAGAGATCATCCTGGAGAAAATCCATCTATGTGGCCACTAAGAATTGACACCAACTTGGGGGCACATAACCAACTAATCAATCTTGAGCATTTCAACCTGAACTATTTTTAAACAAATATGTTTTTAAGTCTTCTACAGTCTTGACATAACAGAAATAAACAAAAGAGGAAGGAAGCAAGAGGATGAACCTACCTTGCATCCTTCACAAGCATGAACCCCATAGTGGAAGCCTGAAGCAATGTCACCACAAACCTTGCAAAGCAACACCATCCCACCAGTCTCTGCAAAGGAAGAGAGGAACAAATCTTAATTCTCTACCAGGCCCAGTCGTCTGATCCAGTCTCTCTCTCCCCTGTCTTCAGCCCATGGCAGTAACTTTCCCCAATTTGCTACCCTCCAAACCCAATAAACTTCACTTCCTATAATCCCAGCCAGCATGCCCTTACTACTGTGGGATTATTGGAATGGAAGTTCAGCACACTTGGAGGACAGCAATTGGGGAACACAATCCCAGAGTAGCTCCATCAGAATGGAATCCATCTCCTCTTTGCTTTAAATGGGAATAACACTGAGGGTCATACGCATACACATACAGAAAGCTTTTGCACGCTGGACTAAAACATATTTAAACATTTAGTGTTTTACTGACTGACTCACAACTAGCTAAGTTCACCTCTCACACTAAGCAGAAACCAAAATTCAAAAGCCACAATGCACTATTTTAACTGCCATCAGGGACCAAACCAAAATAAAACAAATCACAATATGGCTTAGTACCGCAAGGGAACCCTGTCAATATACCTGCAAAAAGCTACTGTGAGTGAAACAATACTACACCTTGGAATAAGGAGGGTTTCAAAATGCCAAGGGACCGGGCAGATCTATGCCCTCTTTAATGGCCCACGTTTTTGTCTGAAACTAAGCCCAAGATGTTGAGCAACGGGTGATTTTCAACATTTGATTAGGTAAGCAGATGGATACACCCAAAGATGCAGTAACAAGGGCAGGGTGGTTACCTTCAAGGAGAATAACAGTATGTTGGTTTTTCTATCAGTATCCCATGTCCGTGCAGACACAACAGGACAATTATTAAATATCTTGGATAGTAGTCTTCACAGAAACACACTCCATCCATACAAATGCTTTTCTAAGACAACTCCCTGTTATTATCCCCTTACTGCAGAAGGGACAGGGTTGGAGCAGAGGCAAAAGAATCTGTGGTTTCCTTAAGACCACCTAGCAAGTACATCCTGGCTCGTAGCTCACATCTTTAGCCCCAGCTCATAGTCATCACTTTCAGGATCACCTTGTAGCACAAAGTTTTCCTTTCTTCGCTCTTAAAGCAGAGAATGCAGGGAATTAAGAATGTGAGCTTCTGGCTTCCATCGGACACTTCTTCCATCTCCTCCCCCACACCACCCCTACTAAACTGAGAAGAGGAGGTGTAAGTGGAAGAGTCACTTACTTGTGAAAGTGCTGGTGGCTCCATTCTGCTTGGCAGCAGGCACCTTACTCGGTGTTGGGGGCAACTGGCCCTTGCTGGGGTAGCAGATCCCTTCAGGAAACTGGAAGGCTACCTTGGGTGAAGAGGGGGAACTGGCCTGCTGCGGCTTGATGGCTCCAATCTCAGTAAGGGTCAGCTCTTCCAACGAGGATGGCAGTGAGTGTTGGGGTGAAGACACCAGGTATCCACTGGGAGGGCTGCCTGGAGTGGGGCTGGAGCCAGCTGTTGAACCCACATACAGGATCACGCCACCTGGTGCACAAGAAGGGAGGGGAAAGTTGAACCCAGTGTAGACAGTAAGAAAGATGACCTTGATGGGAATATGTAGGAACCGTTACCTAGGCAAAAGGGGCTGAAACATTTTTAAAGTTCAGAACGAGGTAATATTTGGAAGTGGCTTGGGCAGAGGCCTCCCTAATTCACTGACGTATAAGAAGGGGGAGAAGGCACAGCACAATCAGACTTGCAAGCTTCTGTAATTATAGCCAATCTCCATCCTGTGGAGTTGATTCCCTGGTCTGGTCTAGGCTGACAACCAGGAACTATAGATGGCTCTGCAGAGGAAGTTAGAAGAATCTGCAAAAAATGGCTGCATTCCAATTCAGTCTTCTGGCTGGAATCTCTGCTAGGACACACATTTGGAGAAGCTAAAGAAGCAACGAATCCATATCCCGTCCGACGATGATGCTATCCATACCCCACAGATTAACTCACACAATTCCGACCATGACTGACCTCATGCATGCCACATAGTTCAAACAAAATAAAGGCAGTCTCTTTACAGAAAGACACCACCACCACCACCAATCTGATCATTCCACTGGGTGATGCCTGCACAATTTATGTCTGACTAAAGCAAATGCCCGTGAGGCACATACCCCAGCTGGCCTGCCAGATGCCTCACTGCCTTCATCACAATTCCAAGCAGGCAGGCAAGTTGTTTCTGAAACAAGACTGGTAGGTTGCATTTGGCCTGATGGGTTACAAGCTATGCAAGCTTCCAGCAGACTGCTGAAAGAAATATTACATGCATTTCTAGGTCACCCATTCAAGAAACACAAGATCCTACATATCATATGAAAGAGTAAAGGACATTTCCAAGCACCAACAAACAAACTACACCTGAGGAGTGTAGTTAACCTTCGTTTCCTAGCTTTGCATACTGCACATTCTTCTTCTCGGTAGCCACAGAAGAGGCAGGATCTGTGCACTCAGAAGCTCTCATTGTCTGTGGGTGAGCAGAGACAGAGGAAGGAAGCAGTTTCTACAAATGCAGGGTTGCATTTCCACAGGCCTCAATAGCCTGCCTACACCAATGACATTGCTAGTTGAAGCACCCAGAGGTCAAGAATCTGTATTCACATCCTCAGGGAGTGCTTCCAGACAAGGCCTTGACTGTGCAATTCCTGTGTGCTGCTCACAGCTCTTTGCCCGGGGGGAGTGGGGATGTAGCAGCCAAGCCACATCTTTTCACTTGTAACCTTCTTGCATCTCCCACCACTTTATTCTTCATTTAAAAAAAATAAGGACAAATGCAATAATAGCTGCATGAGACAGCCACAAAGCAAACAGATCTTTCTTATTTCCTCAGCTGCCATTTAGAAGTGGCAAACAAACAACCCCCACCTCAAGCCTGGCACTGCCACAGAGACAGGGAAATGCCGATGACTCCATTTCTCCCATTGCAGCTTGGAAAGGCCTCTACAAAGACTGCAGGCCACCAACAGAGCCCAGCCTTTATGCTGCTGACCTGCCACTCAATCCTAACAGGAACAAAAAGAGGGTTTTTTCTTTTTACCCAGATGGCAAGTTTTTCTGCCCAAGAGGGACCCTGACAAACACTGCCAGCAGTAGTAAAGGCTTTACATGCAGCTAAATTGCAGTGCAAACATTTATTCAATGCACATGATTTAAAGTTCTTGTTCTTGCCCCTGGTAGATGCAGTAAACAAGTGTCTCATTTTTCCAGTCGTCTTTGTGCCAATAGTTTGACCTGCCAAACTATATATGGGATGTCAGAGAGGAGGAAGTTGGGAAACTGGCCTTGAACTAGGTCACTGCCACCCAAAATCATCATTCTCCCCACCGCACCTTACCCTGAAAAACATCTCTTTGGCCACAGCTCTGATCTGCCCTAGGGTTGCCAACTGCGTCTGAAGGTGCAAAGCCAATGACCAGCTGAACGCACGTAGCCTCCATGTGACTCCTGGATGAGGCCAGAGAAACAGCAGGAAGTATGGCCCAAGAGGCCCGGCTGTAGAAAACTAGGGCAAACGAATGGCACACGCAGGCAGGCAACCAAACCCCAGGACTCTGCAGAAAGTCATTCCAGAAAGCAATCTCAAACCAGCATTGCCTCTGGCTCAGGGCAGAGCCTTTCACCCTTGTTCCCAGGGTATGTTTAAAAAACAGCAGGATTATTATTCGTTACTTTAGGTACCAATCTAAGGCTGTTAGATATCAAAGCAACAGCTGGTCCTCAAGTTGTAAACAGGACGATCAAGATGGAGATCCAGCTTTCACACACATCCAGCCAAAGCAAAGGATTAACTACAGAAGGCCAACTCACAACAAAAATGGGCCAGGCCAGGTGATCATCCGTGATGGTTATTAGGTTATTAGGTTAGATTTGCTGGCTAACCTGTGCTCCTAAGGCCTCTTCCTCATTTCCACCTAACTGTGGCATGAACGTGCTCCAGGAACCACTTCTGGGGACATATCCTCATGAGGTCGCTTTTATCTTCCCCCCCAGTCCATAGATGGAAGCACCTTAATCACCCTTAGCCGTTCGAGTTTTAAAGTAGCATCTTCCCTCTTCTCCCAACACAATGTTTTGGTTCACTGTTGATGTAGTTGTTGACATTGAAGGTAGGATCTGCCCGGCTTCAACTGGCCCCTCGAGGCTGCTGCAGGTCTGTCCTTTCCCCTCTGATCACTGGATATAGCTTGGGCTGCAAGAGAGACCTACCACCTGCCTTCTACCTGGGTAATGCTTGCCCAGTACTTTCCCTAGCACTTGTCAGATCTTCTGTGAATTCCTTGTAACTGCAGAATTTAGTCCTCTTCTGAGAGCGCGCTGGACTTGTGTTTAAAAAACAAAACTAATGCTCTCTTCAGGCCTAGCCCTGTGATGTACAGAAGCTCAATTTAAACCAGGAAAGAGACTTGGTTTCTGCTGTGTTGTCTGTTTTGTCAACACTGGATGTATTACAAGTTTTCCACTACTTTTGCCAATAGGCTTTGACGGTCATATTTTTAAAGGTTTTTGCTATTTTTGTTACTTCTGAGATGTTCACACAAGCACCAGAACTGTTGCGTTTAAGTTGTCCTAGGTGGGTAGGGGGAAGGCACTATTTTGCCTACTCCATTCTGGCTTGGCAGTGCTCAGTGCCATGGTGATGACTGTTATTTCATGGGGCCTTTCACAATCACATGTTCCACCAGTTCCTTCCAGACACTGCCAGCAATGAGGTCAGAATTGGCCTCCTTGGTCACTCACTGCCAGTGCTACCATTCCCTGGAAGAACAAGCCAAGGAGTCAGTTCATTTGTTGATTGTTCCCTCCCACTTCAGCTCCAACATGCCTCAGATCTATCAGCTAGACTATTTTTAAACATGAATTTAGCTCTCTCTGAGGTGTGCAGGAGGTGCTGCACCAAGCAGAAGTCCCAGGAGAGCATCCACCTGCCTCAGCCTGCACCTGCCACCTGCTTTTTGGGCAACGTGACAGGTGGTTAAACCTACCATTCCAAGTATCTGGCTACGTTGTCCTACCTGCCTACTCAAAGGAGTGGTTAACAGCATGTTAAAGCAAGTCTCTTGAAAAGCCCTAAGTTTTCAATCTGGTTGAATAGGAACAAATCCAACCATTTCTCCATCCAGCCCAATACTGCCTGCTCTAGGCATTTCTTCAGGGTCTGAGCCTGGTACAGTCTTCCATATCATCTGCAACTTGATCTTCCTTAACTAGGAAGATGCCAGGGAAGCAAAGCGTATGCCCTTTCCAACAAGGTCTGACCCTTCCCAACAGACTGCTCTTCTCCCAATTCAGGTCTCCCCTTTGCTTCTTGGACGCCCTCCCCTCAGCCCTCACATTATAATTTGCCATATTCTTTTGCTACCTCCAATTTTTCTCATCCCCCATGCGAGTACTTTGTAAAGTGGGCCGCAGAAGTTTAGCAGAAGCCACAGTCTCCTTCCTTGTATCTGTGCCCAAACTTATTTAACGCATCCAGAAGCAACCCACAGCAAAATGGGAAATGTACTTTCCATATGAACCTCTCCACACTCATGTTCCCTCCGTCTTTTGATGACAGAATGAGTTTAAGCTGCCTCCAGAACCAATCACCACCAGTCAACTCTGTCCTGCACAACCCCTGGCTTGAAAAACATGTGCCCAAAATAAACGGCCTTTCTTTTACATTTTCGCAGGCGTTGTGGAGCTTAAAAGGGCAGCAGCCGTTTGCTCAGGCCTCAAGCGCTGCCAACTTTAAAACCATTTGGGCCTCGGGAAAGGCTTTGTATCCAAGCAGAGCGTGCTCAGAGGGCTCTCTAGCTGTGAGGCGTCAGAGGAGTGCGTCTGCTTTGACCTCAAACTTAGATGAACTCCGCCTCCCTGAACCAGAAAAATGGCCCCAACCATCTTCAAATGCATAACAATAAACTCAAATAATAACAAAGCTCAGCAATAACAAAGTTCAAATACAGCTCTTGGCCTCAACTTTAATGAGGTATCCCTTGATTTTATTGTCAGGGCTGCAATGATCAAGGAAGCAAACTGTCCTCATCCCAGGAATGCCTAAGGACCACTTTGGATGTGCCAAAGATGCTGATGCAGGAGCAGAGATGTAACATTTTCATTAATTTTGAACCCATGGGGAGAAAACAAGGTTGGGGGCTTTTTTCCCCACCTGAAAAAAACCAGACATGGAACGTTTGGGGGAAAATGGAAATGTTCATTTTTATGCTACTCTTTACCGATTTGAATTCACTTTACTGTTTTAAGGACTGCAATACATATAATATTGCATATTTTCTCATGCAATTATGTTTGGTATATTTATTAAATACAAACATTTAATTTAACCAGACAGTAATTAGTATTTGAATTTACTTTAAAATGTTTTAATTTTTGTCTTAAATGAAACTGTAAATTGCGGAACTCTAGGAAACCTCAGATTTCTTAATTTTGTCAGTCTGACAAACCAGAAAACAGTAATAACGAAGACAGAAAAAACTACCTACGTGATCATA